AGTGAGAGACTGTTCCCGCGCAACTAAATAAATTTGATTTGGTGTGTGACCGAGTGTGAATGTTGTCTTTGGTCTAAGCAATGATATATTAAAACCACCGAATACAGATGCTTATGTGTAGGTTAGCGACTCCGTGGTACGAATGAATCGTTTGGTTTCATTGGAAAGCATTAAAGGTTCTACTACTGTGTAATTAGAAGCTGAAAAGCACCAGACGTCCGAAAAAGCGTTAGAATGGCCACTTTTGCCGATCCTGTTAACATTCAGTCATTAAACCCAGCAAAACGATTTTAGACTCCCAACTAGTGGAGGGAGCAATGGGTGGCACTACGTTCAAAGATTTAAAAGTGCTTGGTGTTTCCCCAATTTCCCCAGAGTTACTAATGAGTAGGAGGATTTTAATTTTAATGTTTTCGTCCCAGGAGCTCACAAGCTACATAGCACAGCCTAGTCCGGAAAAGCATCAGACGCGTTTCGCCCTATTGGGGCTCGTCAGTGGTGCGCATTCCCTCGGTCCCCTACTTGGGATCGAACCCGTGACGGCTGGAGGCAGATGCCAAGTAGCCAGCAGCTTAAGGCACTAAGCCATGGGGGACATCGTCTGGGCTGCATAATTTGCTAGCTAACTGGGATATAGCAAGATCTATCTTCCACCGCCACGCAGGTTACTATCTTAGTAGATGACAGTTGCTAGCCTCCGAAGGTCATGACTGCTTCTCACTAGACGTTACATCCATAGCATTTGAAACTAGGAGAGGCTACATTTTATAGTACTAATGAGTAGGAGGATTTTAATTTTAATGTTTTCCACAAGCTAGAATTGTCTGATTGTCAAAAATTAACGCTGTACTCCATCAACCTTCACTGTGTGGGTTCTCAGAACGATCGACAAATGATATACCTTGCAACTACATTACATAATTCAGCTAACGGTTGTCTAACCTTAACTATGATCCGAGCACTACTCGTATTCAAGGTTTCCGACACGAAAGCTATCGCTGTTAAATTCAATGAAAAAGATAACTGACGAATTCTCGTCAGAAATCGTTTGCCGTCACTCTCTCGAAGTTCTTTGCTAACCCACTGGGTCATGCGTAATTTCCACAGAAACTTTCACAGTCCGTTTCGGCACTCCTGAGCCATGCTTACTTCCAACAAGGACAGCGTAACAGTTAGTAGCAAAATCATATTGCTCTCCAAGAAATTTGAGAAAGCGACTGGAACGACTAAAAGGGGATTGTGCTCAAAAGTATTTCGTTAATAACACGTTAACAGTAGTAATATCTAGTGCCCTCTGTCAATGTACTAACAACTTCGCCATGCTTGTCTGATGCCAAACATTCAGCACATAACAAGTAAGGTGCCAGACGACCTTCGCGTCCGTTGAGTTCTAGATAACGAACTACGAGCCGCGGATGTTGATAAAACGAGATGTTGATCAGCATTACTTAACAAGAGTCTACCATTCATCGAACCAGGTAACTAGGTACAACATAGAGCAATAGACCGCTCACTTCTAATCATATTTTGACCTAATGTTTAACCGTATGGGCAACAAACCGTCTATGGTCAGGTAACATTGTACTTCAGCTGGAACACGTAAGTTTGCAGTTACGTTTCTATTGCAAATGGAATGCATCATTCAAAAATTCCGGCCCAAACCTCTGAAGTGATTGACATAGGACATCTAGATGATTATAGTCAGCAAATAAGAGCTTACAACTGGAGATAAACTAATGCCTATGCGTGTTTCCTTGCGCGAGTTTCTTAACAGGAGCATTAAGTAGAGCACCCGACAATTTGTCATACAAGCTAGGCATGAAACTGACATACTTCAAGGCTAAACAGTAGCATGAAAAGGCCAGTTTATAAAATCAGTACAATATCAAGGAGTAACTTACCATCCCAATTAGATCCCGTTAAATTTTGACTAATAATTTTGATGTTTGTCAGTCAGGAACTTGATACTTAAATGTCACGCTATTTATTAGATGTGATCACTTGCGAGTATCGTACAAATGTCATCTCCGGAATGAAGGCTGCTCAACTCAGTGTGGAGCGGTAGGCGTGGTGTTCGTTCAGCTGTCAGCCGAACGTCATCCACCCACCCACTTTTGATTTCCAAGTCGGGGTAAGGTAGGGCGTAACCCCTAGCCATTCCTGCCCAATTCTCGCATGTGATTGGTCAGGCTTTCTTAATCCACTCAAGTAGCCTGTGCTCGAGGAGGTGCGAAATGTCATCCCTTGAAATTCTTATCTGGCCCGAATCAACAGAGGTTAGAGGAATAACGGTTTCAGTGTAGTATACGCCTCCCGAGGTTAAATAGGCCCTCACAAGTGGTTGGATTGATTCTACTGAATCGCTTCTTGATAGGGATAGGGTTGAGTGAATTTAGAACCTCTGTGTTATTCCAGCTTTAATGTTCAGTGAAAGTCACCATTGCAGCTGCTAGCGATGTGAAAATCTGCCCCGAAATCATGTCTGAACAGACGATCTTTCGGTTGGGATTGTATACGAATAACGTAAAACAGTTCGTGGGGTTTTTAAGGTCTTGTTTTATGTTCTAGACATACGAGTTGCTTAAAGGTGGGTGGAACGAGATCAAGGGGTGTGAAAGCATATGCAGAAAATGAATGTGAAACCACACTGAGATTGCATCCAACAACGCACAGCTCGTGCAATTTCAAAGAGCAGTGGGTAATTCTTTTGACAAATTCCAGTCAACACTGAGTCTGTCAGTTAAGAAACGCGCGGCTGTAACAATATATTATACTTAGGCACCAGTGCTCGGGAGCTTATTGTGACGGAGAGGAAAATACGGCAAGCCCCTCATAATGAATTAGGCGGCTGAACAGATGCTTTCTCTAGACATTTTTGGAATAATCCGTAAGCTCGTATCTCCATATGTTTTCTTACCACGGATTCACAATTAGTTCGTAAGGTAGGGTAACTTTAGCACCGATAAAGCAGTAATTCATTCCCCTTGGTCAATGAAGGCGATTGCATGAGAATCATCAAGTACACCATTAATCAAGCTTCCTTGGAGAGGCGAATGAGTGAACCTCCAATAAAGTGGTGAACTCTGGCTGTGGTTTTTGCAACAGTCATGTGAAACAAACGCGAAGGGCCGGTTCGGTAACCACATAATTTGTTGCTGCGCCGTTTCCTTTTACACGCAGTGACATCAAAATGCCGATTAATTTACTAGACTCTACCTGTCTTCCTGTAATCCAATGTCCTTTACTATTTTCTCCAGATACACAGTTACTCCAGTGCACCTGTTATTTGGTAAATGTTAGTGCGCTGTAGCCAAATCATCGAATTTAAGGGGCTTGGTTAAGATGAGGATAAGTAGTTGATATAAACCGGTCATTAAATTGGTTTGGAAATGGTTCTGTTTTCCAACATCAATTCGAGCTTGGAAATTGATTTCTGAGGCTTTTGCTTATTCAACACTCGGTTACAGATGGTAAGTAAAGGGGAGAAATCTCAGAACTTACAACTTCTTAGTACTTAGCTCATGGAACAAGCAAACGTGTAGTTAATAGTGTCTGTTGACCAAGCTAGTACTGTTTTTGCACATATAATACCGGCTTCAACTATCGCGTTAGCAATGGACAAGAACTGTTAGTGACAGCACTTGCGCGAGGCACTCATGGAATGGATTTCTGACTTGAAGTCATTCTCAGAAGCTGTAGGGCTACAATCAAGGATGCGCAAAATGACTGAACTAGTTGAGCACCTCATTTCGTTTATGTAGAATCACGAGTTGATGTGTTCGTGAATCTTCATAGATAGGCGCCGCGTAGTGCTATCCACATATCGTGCAACACACGAACAAGAGTACCGGTAAACGAGCATTGAACAGATCACCGAGGACAGTACAACCTTTAAGGATTTTTCAAGTAATAGCTTGTCAAAGTAAACACATTTTAAGAGCACCTGCGAATAAAGTTTGTCAGCAGCATCTTCAGGACGTCTGGATGGGATGTCATCAGTAGCATCACCTGTAAACGGTAATTACATGAACAGCTCTTTTTAGGAACACTACTCCTAGGGGGTTTACGTTTGCGTTTCTCAAATTCCTTCGTGATACATTTTCCGGGGTAGTCATTTTGATCACAGGTAAAAAAAAGCTTATGCTTATCAAGTCCCACAGATGGAAACGGTGTCCACAAAAGAGGAAGGTTCCGAAAAACTCCCATATAGGTGAACTTAGCGCATGATTCGTACAGGGTTACGCAATGCCTTGCCTGAATACTTTGGCTTAAATCACGAAATGTGGCAGAAGTAGTGTGACATCAAATAGTGTTTCCTATTTTTTCACAGTATAAGTGGAAACAACAAAAGTCGTTAAGGAGTTCCGCGGGTGGAACATGCGAGAGACGAAAAGAGTCCGGTGACATTCCGTCCTAATACATGTGTGGCCAAATCAACCGGTTACTCGCATCATTAAGAAATTATTCGAAGCCATTCACTAACTCACTTGCTTGAGGGTCAGTATCTCCTCTCTTATCTAATTATTTGACGAAATTATTCCACGTATTTGTATAGTTCGGTTGTCTTCTTAAAAGCCGACGATGGCCTGTCGGTGGTTGGTACAACGCTGCAGGACGGTTAAGCCTTTTGGATGTGTCGGAGACCTGGTCACTGTACAATGAAAACATGAAGATACTGCCCGATTTTTACTACCAGCAAGTGCAAAATTGTAGTCCATATCTAGTGTTGGTGAATGGGATGTTCTATCTAAACAGTCAGCGCCGGTTAAGTCATGTAATTCACAATACTTCAACCCATATTGCTGATCAGCCGCACCTGCATGCAAAACAGCATAGCATGTCAAAGGAAGGCATATTGAGGAGGTGGGAAGTTGGGGGAGAAGAGGCCTAACTGGACTGTAGGTGATACAGGAATCGGGCAAATCCGTGATTAGAAGCGTTCGCACTCTTAATACTATCGTAAAGGGTGTGGTGCTGTCGTCTCAAGTGCTTTTACTGACCTGTAATGGTTTGAGCAAAAGGATGAAAAGTGCGTCCGATAAGCTTTTGGCTTCCTTTTATTTGTCTGCTCATGGAAAATTTCCCTCCTTTTTCCGAGTGGCATGAATTAACAGAATTTTGTTCGGCACCGTCTAGAACACAATTCCTTGTTAACTAACGAAAGTGAACTGAGATTTGGTTCCCTGTTATTCCGATTCAAAATTCCGGCTGGCTATTCCTTAGCATAGATTTCCACCGGTTTAGCTGAAATGTAACAATAATAGAATCTAATCATACTGTATGGTTCATCGATCTGACTCTTCAGTCGATGAACATAATCGCGCACAGGCACACATACACACACATTTATGCACAATACTTGACGGTTCGCCCGTCCGATATGATGACCCCGACAACTGAGCCACAGCACGTGATCGAGGTGAACGGGGTTCACGGTCAAATTACGGCCAAGGCAGAAGAATCGTCTACGTCAATCCGGTGCTTATACAGTTCGAGTTGTATTATCCTGATCTCAATAACCTCGGCCGCCATGGATAAGCGTTTTCGAAGTCCCTTCGCATAGTGCTATAGTACGGCGTCCAACACTGAAAGCTCCCGTGGTCACAAATTGACGTCCCTTTATGCTGTGTTCGAAAATAGAACTGTTGATACTTCTAATTATACGTTTTCGCAATCCTGCTGGACAGTGTTTTGCTATACGCTTCACCAAGCGTGTGGTTGCGTGTCCGAGGTGTCTTACGTCACAGGCTTTTGCGAAACGAACTGTGCAGCTGAAAGACGGTACCGTATGCGCTTCTTGCACCACGATACTGGAATCGCAATTGGCCAGTGGTTTATTGCAATACAACTTGTCCGCTGCAAACAAAGAACCTGTTCGGTAGATGAGTTTCGTTGTTTTGGGATTACGCAACCCACATGTAAATATGTCCATCAGTTCATACATCAGGCCACCGGCTATTGGAGAAAGATATACATACGGCTGTGTAGGAAAGCACAAATTTATTTTGAGACTGAGGACCCTAACTTCTACAAAAGATCATAAAGGCGTTTAACTTCTGTCACTAAAATGGGCTTTAAGTACAGAATAGCGGTACATGAATTTCGGTGATCGAATGTTCGCGTTAGTTGGACCTAGTTATGTGTAGTGTTGCAATGGAAATACCTTACATAAGGACCGGTGCTTGGAACGGACGACGACACTATCCGACATCTATCTTACGTGCTTCTCGGTTGATGGCTTTACGGCGGGTGCTATCTATCAGTAAAACTTTTTAGTATGAATCAATATCAGAAATCACTTCAGGGTAAAGAATTCTTTTCGGTAAACGCTCATCAGACCCAAACGTTTACACAGCACTGATTGTGGGGAAGGCGTCAACTCGGGTTGGGATTGGCTTTTGGGCTGTTTGTACGATCAGAATCGCTAACTTGAGACAGGGATACAGATGGTAAACCAAGTGAACTAAATAAACATACATACACAAAGCTCTGTAATTCGACGTAGATAAGTAGGTAACATAACTACCGATTAACTAAGTAACAGTGTCAGTTGGCGAAGGTAGTAGTATCGGCCGTATGAAGCTTTTTTGTACGCATGATTCCGGCTTCAGATGGTGGATGTAGATAGTCTCGGCGATGGATAAGAGCTATTTGCGGAATCCTTAGAAGTGTTCAGGTGGTGAGTTGATGACTTTGAAGTCCTTCTCGGAAGCTGTATGGCCACATTCAAGTAGTCGAGACATGATTGAGCTGTCTGGGGACCTCATTTCGCTTTCGTAAAACCATACCGGGATGTGCTCACGAATCCTCTGAGATAGGTGCCTCGTAGTGCAACGTATCGTGCACTACTGATAAACGATCATTGAATGGGTCAACAACGGCAGTCTATCTTTCAAGGGTTTGTGAGCAATGGCTTGTTGTGATAAAGATTTCTCAAGTGGGTAGAGAAATAAGTTTTCTCGACAGCATATTTCGGGCGTCGGGATAACACAACTGCTGCAGAATCGCCCTTAAGTGGTATACGTATGAAAAGCTATTTGTTAGGAGTAATGCTCCTATTTGCCTTCCGATTGGGTTCCTTCAAATGTTTCATAATAAATTTATCAACGTAGCCATTTTCCCTTAGGGCGTCGCTGATTCGCTGTGGTAGGTCGTTGACGGTATCCGGTATATAACTACTGCGCGTCCTGAAGGCGAGAGATCTGATTAAACTCCTTTTATGCTGTAGACGTACTGCGCTGTGTAAGTTAGTGTACTGCTCAGTCCATGCGTGCTTTCTGTGTACCTTTCTGCTGCATGATCCGTCTGACTTACGGATAACTTGTGCATCTTGGAAAGGTAACCGGTTTCCGAATTCGTGTTCACAGATGAAGTAGAGATTCTCGTGTGCGTCACTGAAAACTTTCAGCAACTGATCACTTGGCTTACCAGTTATATCCCTGTCTCAAGTTACCCATTATGATCGCTCAAACAGCCCAGAAGTCAACGCCAGCCAGAGTTGACGGCTTCTCCACAATCAGTGCTATGTGAACGTTTGGGTCTGATGAGCGTTTGCCGAAAAGAATTCTTTACCCTGAAGTGATTTCTGCTATGGATTTATATTAATGAAATGGGAATATTTGCTATGCTGAAGACCAGCATTACCTGTGATTCATTAAAACGTTGTCTCCACCAATGTTATAGATATGCAAGTCTGTTTTATACGAGTTATTTTGCCTGTAGTGTTCTACAGAATCCCTCTTATATAACTGTAATTTTACGGCCAGGTTTTGGTGTCAAAATTTCCATACACAAGGAAGTTGAGTTACCTTGCTTGCGGGATGATGTAAAATCTGTTCTCGGCAAAGATGTGTTCAAGCCGCTAGATAATTCTTGAAGTCTTTTCTTAAAATCAGCGTGGTCAATGGTAAGCTTTTGATCAATTACTTGCTCGATCAGGAGAACAGTGCTTCAGAAGACAGTCGTGCTTGCTGCAGTCATTGGAGATTCTCTGCAATTTCGAGACAGCCTCTCCGCGATATAAGTTCCTATTCGATTATCAAATAACGAATCTGAGTAGAAATGCGTCACATCTGGACTCGATCAGACAGCCATTGTACGAACGGAAAAACGCTGTACGACAGTCCCATCCTTTCAGGTGTCATCAACAGAAGTGCACAGTTCATCTAACCCACAAGTCGAATGTTACTATTCTGTGATGGATACTAATGGAATACGGGAACTAGAACGATAGAAGTGAATAAGTTACTGGATGCCATGCAAAGCCGCTCACTATCCCTTGTACTCAGTACGCAAACCGAACTGCTTATGATGTCATGAGTTAACCAGTGGCTTAAATTTGTTAAGTTTATCACTCGGTGAGGAGGCTGCTTGGTGTACTATACGGTAATAACGTGCAAGTCACTTGATAGGGAGCGGCGTTATATCAAATCTAATAAATTAGTCACCATAGTCTTTGCCATCCCCGTAGCTCAGCGGTCCTAACTACATACTGGCTCCAGCTTCATAAGTGTCAAATGGAGTGCATACTGCTGCTGACGATTCCCAAAAGGATGAAACGGCCTTACAGTGCTTTCCGGGTATGTGATGACTGTCCGATTGAGTATGGATGTGATGAATTACTACTAATACTATTCAAATCACTACACTACTCAATTATATACTAGTTATCTGGAATCCTTGCCGAACAAATCTTTCAGACAAAACTGTATTTTAAGTGAAGCATTGTTAGATAAGTGAACTATCAGAAATGCCGAAACTATAAAGCTCAAAGAATAATCATAGAGTGTTGTGAATAATTCTAACGCATCCAATTCCATACTGTTTGATGTCAAATTGATAAAGTACAATGTCATTTATGATTACAGAAAAAAGTATCAAAACATGCAAGGTTACAAGAGTCATTTTCATGCAGTTTTCGTCTCAAAGTGAAACATCTGGAGCCAAGATTGCAGCGAATATAAGAGGAATTAGGTATGAAATTTTCGGCAGCTTGAATGGATGCGGGCCCCTTTGTTTTTGATTTGATGATAGTAAGAGTAAGCTAATTGACTGGACAATCTTTCGCTTCACTAACCCTTAGTGAATAAGTCTCTCAGTTATCAATTCGCTTCTCACTACGTTTCGTATAGTGGAGTCAAACTTCACAGTGAAGTATATTACTGTAACTTGGGGCGCAGGAAAGAAACATTGTCGTTAGTTCCGGAACCTGAGGAGGATTAATTTCACATATGGAATATTCTGTAAAAGACACACCACTGCGTGCGACGTGCTTACATTTTCATGCACTTAGTAGGTATATTGCCATGCAGGGGCCAAAATTTATCTTCACTCAAAGCTTGCGTCATGTAGTGTGATACAAGGGTCACGTAAGATAAACAATCGGGTCGTCGTTTGCCACAGGACACGGGCAGAACAAGTAACCTTGAAGGCTCGTGATCTCATTGAATACCTCATTTCCAGATCCCTGGTGCAGCTGTCTACTAACACCCAGTCCAGCGATCAGCAAGCATATATGCACAGGTTCTTAATGCTTGGGAGTGATTGATTCAAAAAGCTGCAATGAGGCACACGCAAGAGCCTTTATCTAAACATTCCTTCAACTCTATAAAGACCAGATTTTGCGTTAAAATATCAGAAACAGGAGATGCTAAAGTGTTGATTATGCTGTTTCACTTTGGATCAGGGGACGGAATTGATCGGATGAAACCACTTCAAGGCTGTCCATTTATCTGTCCGTTATTAGCAGGTGCGGATCTGTGTGCCTTAACACAAAGATAGCCAAAGTCGGATAAGGTGGATTAAGTATAAGAGGGCCTCATCGCAACAGTATATTCGAAATATGGGATTGAAACCGAGGTGCTAATAGAGGTTAATGTGCTTTGAGACAAAATTAGAATAGCAATCTGTATAAATAATTTCCACATTCACTTCTGAACTTAAAAATAACCGCATGCATTAAAACCTTGGACATTGATTTGATGTGGGTGACCTCACATCGGCGTGGCCTTGCAGTGATCAGCGCATTCCAGGACGTTTTAACCCTTATGCATTGCAGTCACCTGTAACGCCTAATGCGTCACGAAAGCTTAAGCAATTGTATCGGAAATGGTTTCGGCGTCTTGAACACTGTGGCCGCCAGAAATGGAGTTCATGAGGCAGAGGAACAAAAAGTGCTTGGCATTCAACTCTCAGCTGTAAAAAGTGGATACCTATCTTCCAGCTGGCAATGAAACACAGGTCTA